TCATCCGGCGGACACCACATATGGATCTTCTGCTCATGATCTCTGCATGTACTTTTCATCTTCTACTCGTTGGGTTAGTGCGTGGTATGCAACGCCAGTAGCAGTACCACCACCATTAGAGCAAGTTCGAGATTGTATCCGCTCACATTATACACAATGGCGGGGAGACATGCACACACTAGGTGGAGGCGCCTTATTTAGCGATATGAGCGCATGCTGGTATGTCGTTGAATGGTCCAAACGGAACGCACAAGATACCTCCCAAGCTCGAAGAAGAGCGACGGTCCTTCCTCGACCAGAACCTATGCCATTGGATGAACTTGTTGCAGCTCATGAGACATACGGCGAAACCATTGCTGCATTCGCAGAGGGCTATGAAGGAACTGGACAATGGTGTGCGCGTGGAGAATGTTGGGATCTTGCAAGCGAAGCTCTCAAATCTTTTGAACAATGGGATTATATTCCCAAACCCATTCCTAGTATCGGTAAAACTCACGGACATTTGATATATGAAGGGAAGGCATGGGGTAAAGGCCAGGGAGCTGGAAGATGGCGTGGAGGAGATGACAGAATTCGTAGAGGTGATATTGTTCAATGGCTAACTACCACAATCGTCGACGGATACACGACGTTCACGTTGGGAGCCCCTGATCATACCGCTGTTATTGTTAGGGATCAAATACCCAGAATCAAACCTTCCGATGGTGCATCAATGAAACCAGGAGATTTGATACAACTTGAAGTGGTCGAACAAAGTGTTCATTCTCCTCCGGATAGAAAAGTCTATCGATTAGAGGGTATGGCAGCAGGCGAAGTGTGGATATACCGACCAGTGAGCATGGAGGCGTATCTGAAATTACTGTTCACTCCAAATTGGCCTGAAAATATGGAAGCTCTGGTGGAAGCATAAAATGTTTATTTATTTTTTGTGTATTGGGACTTTTTGTATTTTTTCCAAACTTGAGATTAGATAATTGAGCGTCAAACCTTCTCCCCCGTTATGCTCTTCTTCCCGCAGAGAATTTCGACATGTAAAAATTATTTGACAAAGATTAAACCGCATAACCTTCAATTCTTTCGTGGACTTCGTTTCGATAAACGAAAAGTAGATTCAATTGAGCAATTCAGCGATGGTCCCAATCACAAGTTACTAGAGCATCTTCTAGATTGTACGTGTTTTTTTTTTTATTCCGCTAAATCTGGTAATTTACTATCTCATAGGTTATAAGGAGGAGAAAGTACTGAGAGCAAAGCTTCAAAGATTCCCTGCTTTGCTAACCGCCATTAAAAGTATTCACCGACTGGATTATCGTTTGACCCTTAAACACGATATCAAGTCTGTTCGTACTTTCTCGTTGCTGTTTGGGCTATACAAGTTTATTAACTTGAATGGTAGATTCCGGATGTAGACAGTCACGCTGCAGCTCGGGTTATGGACTATTTAAGCTTAAAAAAGGTATGAAAACTTACAATGTTGGGTAGCTGCAAATCTATCACGTTATTGTAGGTTGACAGAAGAAAGCTCATCGAAGAACCTAGTCATTCAAAAAAAATTGACCGTAAGAGAAACAATATTTTGAAGCAGCTGCAACAAGTAAATGGCATTGGGTACAATATTATCTATTTATAATTTCCTTTTTCTGACCATTATTTTTACTTGCAAAGACCAATCAAAGCCCACATACTCGTGAACAACGGATGTGAATCGGTTGAACAACTGCGTGAAGAACGATTTTTAAAATTACTTCCCAAACCCGTTGGAGAAATGTTTAAACATGAAAAGACCGTGTCAAGTGCAATTACTAGAAAAGATGGAGAACGTTTCTTGGTGTGTGTGTTTCTGTCCCTTCAGTATAGTTTGTATAACTATAGGTTTCTAAGGACACTCTTCGAGAAAATTTGTCCCGGGAGTTCGACATCCACTTAGCAGGCGGTTAGTGAGTACCCCCGTAACGTCACAATACAATTTTAAAAGTTAATAAGATACTCTCAGCCGCCTTGGTCATAAAAAACTAAATGAATTGGATATCTTGCTGTTCCATCCGAGTTACACAATCCTTCCCCAAGTACTTTCGGAAACTAGAGTTCACACGAAATACAAAATACCAAATATACACCCCACCTCACCAGGATCCCTCTTCAAGGAGTCCATATCGGATCCTATTAAGAAATCTGGCTTAGATATTTTTACCTATTCCAAGAGTAATGATCAATGGGATGGATTGATGAAAATCAATGATAATGTTATAGGCAGAGCACGAATATAGTAAGTCAAACGAGAAAGAAAAAAAAAAACTTCCGACATTAATTTTCATTAAAATTTCCATTCAGTCTATTGCCAATGGCATCCAAAGCTGCTGGACTTCTCACATTCACTGGCGATCCATCTTTCGTACAATCTTGTCGTCAGCGGGCTAGGAAACTTTCTTTACACCTGAATGAATTTGGTTTATGGCATGATGGAAACGGTGCACATAAAAAAGCAAGGCCACAAGATGAAGATAGCCCAGCAATTACATGGGAACCTTTTGTGATACCAGATGAAGCTGCGTTACTACAGAAACTCCAAATAACCTACGTTGAACCACATCAACGCAATAGCACTAACAGCACTAACAAGGGTAATCACTTTTCAGAGAAACCGCCTTGGCATATCGCAAAAATTCTCTCGCCTGTACTTCAAGAGGCCGTCTAGCTTTTCAATATATATATATATATATTTAGGCTACAATATCGGAATCATGTATTAAGAATACTATTAATACCATATGGAGCGAGTTCTATGTGCTGGTATTACTCCTGAAGTGACTATGCCTTCAATCTGTTCCTCCCGGTTTTCAATCTTCTTAGCTATATAACGTTGAGAAAACTGAATGTTTTCTTAAATCGGTCTCCAGGTAAAAGACTCACCGAGATCCCACAAGAAGAAATCAATGAGGACGCTTGGAATTTCTTCTTGACCAGGTAAAATGGGAGTAAAGTCGCCTTCATTTTCACGGATGCAAGCTATTTCATCGCGAATCGCCTCAACTGCCAATATACTCGCCGCTCTAATACTGAGCTCTGCACGACAGCCGGGAGGAAAGTATGTATATGAGGACAGAAGGGCAAGTAAGGATGGTGGGTAGGACAGTATCCGTAAATGATGCAATATTTGAGGGACCTAAATAAAGTGAGAAACAATAAATTTTCCTCAAGGAGAGGTTAAGCACCCGATAATCTATAATATACATTAGAAGTATTAACATAAATGCAGTATTCTCTCTTACCCGCAAACATTGTTAGTTGACTAATACCACCAGGAAAGAAAGGGTGAGGCGTGTCTGAAGATATAGGATAAAACGCAGCCCTTGAAAAAATAGTTAAAAATGTGTGCATGAAATATATATACGGAGGTAAAATTTACCATGTTTCTGCTGCAAGGATTTGTGCCCGTTTCCAAAAATAAACTACGACATGTCAGGTTAGGGTACATTCAACTTTATGTCGGTAACTTACCTCTCTTGCCTTTGAAAACCGTCTCATCTCTAAATGAAGGAAACTCATCTGTGATGAGCTCAACTAGCTGTAGAGCAGTACCACGACCGGAATATCGAGATAAAAATTGAACCAGCAAAGTCTCGTAGCTACCACCAAATTTCTTCACAAACCAGATAAATTAAAGATATTGAGAAATGAAAGATGATATCTCACAGAGGTCATGATAGAGCCCACCTCCCTCATGATTGCTATCCTTTCCTTTAAAAGAGGAACAGTCTCGGAACAGTAAGGAGCGGGTTTAAAAATATCTTCGATAAGTGAATCGGGACATAAGATTGGATCAGAATAGAAGGCCGGGTCAGTGATTGGTATTCCAGCTTCGAGGGCTGAACAATTTCAATTTTTTTAACAAAAATTTACACGTTGAGTTCACTAGAATAGTAGTAATACCTTTGTTGAGCGCCGCGACTAAGCTCCAATAGCCTGTAAAGACTTTTGGTTTGTCTCGATCCCATCCTTCGCGCCATTCAACTCCGTACCTCCTGGATTCTCGAGGAGTGCCTTCTTCAACGGACCAAAAGCTGAAATTAAGAGAAGAAATAAGGAATATCCAATCTAAACAGGCTCTAGCATTAGGATCGCCTGGTGTATAATGTATAGGTGGTAATAGATGCAAAGGATGATTACGCCATGTATGAGGCGAATAGCCTTCTCGTAGAATACTTTTATATATCTGATTTCTTGATGAGGATATGACTTGTACTTCAAGTTCTCGTTGAAATGAACGCTCACATGTCTAGCGGCGGTTTGAACCCCTTCTCGATTAATTTTGACGATATTTATATGCTATATTACGTTTATGACCGTCTTCATATTATACGTAAAAAAAGTGAGCAATTACGCACTTTCAATACAAAACGTGAACTTTCTATAACAGGGTTTACTTCGACTGGTTTGGCGAGACGGATCAGACCCATTGAGTTCTTTTCATTAAATTCGACGACGTTAGGTAGCTGATACAGAGAAGACATGGAGTGATAGTTGTCTTGAAGGTTGGTCTAAGATTGAAGTTTGAAAAAAAAAGAGTGAAAATGTGGATGATTTGTTCCTACGAGAGTCGGGATGTGACGTGACTTGAAAAAAAGTAGCGGAAGCAAATCCATATTTGTGTATGAAATAACATTCCTCTGTGGCTGAATCTGACAATCGAGTTTAACTAGATATGTAAAGAGATCTATGTCATTCCATCATTTGCTCTCGCTTAATGTATCGGTTTAATTGTAACTGTACAGTGAGTGGGTACTTAGTCCGATACTTGATAAACTATCATAGTATAGTCACTACTTGAAACCTTTTTTCATTTAACTTTCATCGATCCACGTTGGTGTTCAAAAAAAAGGTTTCGAAGAGTTCAAAAATAGCCCTGAAAGGAATGCTTAAGTTTCCAAAAATAATACAGGACATTGGTTCAAGCGCTAACATTGGGGGGTTCGATTGGGATGAGCGGACGAGGACAAAAATGCATTAAGCGAGAATCGAACTCGCGGCCGGTCGAATCAAAGCTTGGCAACGACCGAGGTTACCACTACCCCATTAATGCTTGTTAGCTTTAGTCATACTTTCTTTTGAATGATTGGTCGGGTAGAAAAATAATAATCACGAGTGCCGGTTCCAAAAAGTACTAGTAATGATTGATCTTGACTACGTTGAAGTCCCGCCATGTGCAACAGCCTTGCAAACTGAAAAAGCCTCCTCAACTCGAAAGAAAGTTATTATATTACACACACCCGCTAATCCATTTGACAACAACTCTCAAACGGCCCAACCAGCTTCGACTTTTCCTTCTTCTCCTTCTGCCAAAAATAGCTTCACAAGTACATTGCTCTCATCTACACTCTTTCTACCGACTCTTCCAGAGACAACCACCTTCTCGAAAGACGACCATGAAAAGCTACTATCAAGTCGAGAGCCACTTTCGTTGCCCACGACTACTGTAAACTTTCGACGTTTTGTCACTCGTAGTGGTCCCGTTTTCTGGCTGCAAGATCGAATTGAAGAAATAATAATGTGGAGAAGAGGATGGAAGGTTACGTGTACTTGGATGGCCTTGTATGGCATATTATGTGTGCTACTTTTCATTATTTTCCTTATACTCAGTTGTTCATACTTTCTTAGGCATATTTCCTCGTTTGTTCCTTCTCGTGCCAAACCTTGCAGTTATCTCTGTCTTACTAGGGACGTATAATTCGACGCCTAGCTCGGATACTTCCCTCAAACCTTCGTATGTACTACCAAAAGAAGGGTCTGCCGAATGGTTTGCGAATCTCCAAGGTATCCAAAATTTAATGGGGGTTGTGTGCGTCTCATAAGTCAACCAACATGCTCTTCAATTAATCGGTTTCCTCCCCATATAGGTCTGATGCACATGACATGGCTGTTCCTTGGCTTCCAGTCGTGACATGGAACTCACCCTATACTCCTCACCTGTTCACCCTCGTATGCCTTTTGACCTTGGCTTTACTCCCGGTTGTGGTTTACGTTCCCATAACACCGGTTCTTCTTACTGTCGGTCTATTGCCAATGTTTTGCACCCATCCAAAAATATTACGTCTCATTCACCTCCGCTTACCATTGCTGTTACAAAAAAGGAAAACCTTTTTGCAGCGAATAATTGATAACAATAATCTTACTGAAGCTCAGTGGGTGGTAGAGAAACAAGAGGTTGAATTAATGGAGAATGAAAGATGGTCGCCTGGAACAGGTTGGTCAAAGACCGCTTTGAAGCATGAAGAAAAGCCATGGACAAGTTTTTACCTCGAAGAGAATGATCAAACCGGGGATATTCAGTAAGTTTTGTTTCTTTTATGTATACGAACAGTTTTGGTGAAACTAAGATCTAGTGATTTAACATTTGCCATTCCTTACGATTGGGACTTCATTCCAACTGAAACATGGAGACTCGATTATAACGGAGCGTTTGTCCCTTGCAACGGAGATGAAAGTAAGTTTTTAGATATTGAAATATTAATATTTTTTTAAAAAAAAGCATTGATCATTTACAAAAAGATGGTTGGGTTTACTATGATGATTATTGGCAAGACCCTCGTAGCAACCCTGCAGAAGAATGGAAATCCAAAGGCATGGCTCGACGGCGACGATGGACTCATCGAATATATTGTGCTCAATGATATGCTATAATAGTGGCTACTTGTCTGTTTCAATCAGCCGCGTATTCCTCAGGACATTATTAGCCTTTAACTTAATTTTATACATATGTCATATAATCGAGAAAAGAACCTCTAAACACTATCCGAGCTGCAATTTAATTCCGGCTTATAAGACAGCTTAGTAAGTAGCGGACTTAGAAATTCAATTTATCCCTGCCTCCTTGCATTTATTTCCCTAAATTTTGTCTAATGGCTTCCGCGTCCTCGTTCGTGACGCAAGACATTTCCTCGTTGAGGGCAGCAGCCCTTTTAACTTTGAAACCAAGATCTAAATCTCGCCCTCTACCCCGTCGCACCTCACCTGAACATCCTGATGACACGTCTTCGATAGCATCAACACTCAGAGCACCACCATCTCCTGAATTAGATTATGGATCAGACGATGCGTCTGGTGATGCCCAGAAAACTCCTGTTAACGAGGAAAAGAAGGAAGGTGAAAAGGAGGAAGGTGAAATAAGTGACGATGAAACTCATCGAGTAGTGAAACCGAACCTTTCTATGGCGGACATTGATAACGAACCTTTACCTGGTTTGACTTCGATTTTAAATTATGATACGAATGGCAATGCTTTATCAGGATTTAACGGATCCATTAAACCATCCGGAACACTTGGATCTCGCCTTTCGACATCATCAAACCCACAGCCCTTGGATGCAGAAAATTCAACCTTTGGCCTTATCCCGTCATCTTCAATGCCCTCATCCCTGTTTTTGCCCAGTTCATTCAAGGTTGATGCTGAACACGTTCGGCCTTCGCTGAGGAGTAAGTTCCTTCATCAGCGAATCAAATGTGACCTAATCGTTTGATAATCTAGTGACGGCAGAAGAATTTGCAGAAGCTAAAGAAATAATTCTTGACCTTTTAGGCTGGAGTGTTCCAGCCGAATATCTCATTAATTGCGGTCTGACGAGAGAGGCTATATACTATGTATTTACCGAGCTGAACCTCGAGTACGTGGCCTGTTTTTTTTTTCGTGTATGAGACTGCTACAAGTTATATTCATTTCAGACTTCCCTCTAACTTTGATACCACTGGTATTGCGCCGTATCGTCCCCCGAGGAAATTTTACAGACCTTTACGCGACCCTTCATAGCACAGTTCGATAAGCCGAAGTCTACTTTGCTCACCTCTCCCTTGCAATCCTCGAATATCCCCTCGAACCCTGCTTCTCAACAACCGGATCATCCTTCTCCGCCCTTATCACCGACCGCAGCCAAACTTTACGCTAATTCCGCGAGCATACAATCCCCAAGGGATTCGGTATCGTCTAGCACGGTTGATATGTATAGTGAACCCATTCCTGGCCTACTTCAAAGCACGTATTCGCACGACCAATCTCAAACTACTATCGTAACAACGAATGGTGATCAGGGCGTTCGTTCTACAAAGGAAATCCCAAGACACGTTTACGCTGGTAATCTGGATGAGATTGAGACACTTCGAAGACAAGAGTTGCTCGCTCGAAAGGCCGCCTTAGCTAGTCGTCGTAAGTTGGATCTTAAGAAGCAAACAATCTCAACAACGCTTTCGAATACAAATGTCCCGAAATCTCCTCCCATCTCTCCAGTGGTCTCCGGCGAAGCTGTTGACAATTTCTTGAAGAGCATAACTTCAACTAATGGCGGCATATCAATCGCGGACGGAAACAATGTCGATGTTGCCATGGAAGATAATGAGCCGCAACCCCCGACCCCTTCCACGAGCTCATCTGTTGCCTGGGGGCAGTTTGCTATTCCATTACCGAAAAAGCCTGCAAGTAAACGCGCTGTCGCTTCTGATTGGATAGACTATGAAACTTCTTCTCGCAACAGCCCATACCCTACATTCAACGGAAATGGCGAATATGCTGACATCCGAAGAACATCAAGCACTTCCAATTTGAGTTTTGCCAACCTTATATCTAATCGGAAAGTTGTCATCGATTTCAGTGATTCGGATGATGACAGCCCAGCCGAGAATTCAACCAGGTCTATGAATACCTCGGTTGGGGATGTTTTGCGAATGACAAGTCAGCTAGGGACTCGCGAAGCCATGAATTTAAGACACGTGCCTACTCCAGAAGCCCTGCTACTCAAAGAGCAAGAAATCAAACGAATGAAAGAGCTTATAGCTGAACGAGAAAAGAATAGACTGAAGAAGTTGGCAAATCCTGTGTGTTATCTTACCCCCTTGAGCTACTTCGTTCCTCACGTATCGGTCTTTCTAGCCCAAAGGTTTTACGCCTCCGCCCGTTGATTCTTTTCGGGAATCTGGGATCCCTGAAGGGTCTAGGATCAATAATGAAGAAACTGCACATATACATATAAAACAAGAACAAGACATTACCCCTCCCCTTGATCCTCCAAATGCGGATATTGGGGCCCCTATCGGGGAGGAGGATTCTGTCATGCAGGACATCCCCGATACAGGTACTAAACTATCCCAACTGGGAACCAGTGATAATTTGTTTATAGATAGGGAAACAGCAATTGCTCAGCCAGAGTTAACGACAGAGTCCTCGTTTTCCGGTTTTTAACCCGTCCTTTATTCTCGAAGATGATAGCTTACCCACTGTGTCTCCAGATGCTGCATCTTCTGAAACACAAGACGTACCAATAGATGATAATGGTGTTGTACCTTTCTTCGTCTGAGCGTTCGGATCTAATATCAGCTGTACAGCACCAGTATCTGTAGTGGCTGAACATAAACAAGTGGCAAGCGTCGTTCCGGTTCTATAGTGCTCAGGCACTTCTTTAGTGGTTCTTTTACTAAGTAGTTCTTGGGTTTTGTCGTGCTGCCCTTTTTACAGGTCCCCGATGTTTCAAGGCCGCCACCCAACGTTTATTCTGAGCCCCTTCGGACTGATGTACGTATTGTATTTTATTGTAACGATACCATTACCCTTTACGCGGAACTACATTAAATCGCCAACACTCTTTTTTTTTTAGGAGCCCCCATCGTCTACAGGACGGTTCACTAACTATATCTCACCATTGTCCCCCTTCCTTTTTTCTCGTTCTTCTCTTGTTACTGACCTTATGTCTTCTGAAAACGATACGACTCCTTATTCATTTATGATTTCTCTTCCTTCTATATCAGTAGATAAATCCATTTCCGAACAGATCTCACATCTTTTACGACCCCTCCGTGACGAGGTAGTGTCGAAATTAGATCCCATGCGACCTCTTTGTCACTTTGAAGTACCAGGAGGCGGGAAGTGTCAAGATTCCACATGCCACTATATCCACCTTCGAGATTTTGAACCAACAGGTGAGTGGATGTTATTATCACATTAGATTCATTTTCTATGGCACCATTCTACGACTATAACCAATGCTGCATTCAGATGATCAGATAGCCCAATACTTGTCAAGAGTCTTACCAGAACCTCAACCATCCTTTCAGATGATTAGGACGGGTCTTTCACGCGTCCGAGCTTCGAAGCAAGAAATAGATTTTGACAACCGTATCATTCAAGCACTAGATCATCTAGGAATTCGATAGGTTCTTGAGTCGATCTCCAGACTGTGTTCATGGCTTGAAAACTTTCGACCTAAGTGGGACAACACTATGAGCTCATTTTGGGAACACATAAAAGAGCGAGATGCCAACTGAAGTTTTAAATACGACTTCAGTACAAGTGTTCTTGAGATGTCTCTCCAAGGATGGCCTGAAATGCATCGCTGATTAGCATGTCCGTACTATTCTGGCTTTTTATTCCGGCTTTAGGCTGGTTTCTATGGTTCTTACATGTACAAAAGATTTCATACCAATACGAAAAAGATTATTTGACTGGAAATAAGATTTCTACCGGATTATGCCGAACCGAGTTTATGTAAAACGGCATCTGGAGGAGATGAAACGGCGGAAACATTTACCCCCTTATGACACAATTCTCCTAAAGTCTCAAGCTCAATCAACGCTCAAGGGTAAAATTTTTAATTAAGATATGTTTCTAAATCCCCTGGTCACTTGATATTTTATCCTTTTTGCGTACCTTCGGATGCTTCGCTCCATCTGCACCTTACCATCGTACCAAATTACTCGTCGGTCATTTTCCTATATAATAGCTCTTCCCAGTGCTATTTTCCAGAGACCAAACACATATATTCCTTGTTTAACCTTTCGTTCAATTTCAACAACACAATTGCCTCGTGCTGATATGAATCATTCGAATGGTACCCCCAATCGCTTGGCGAATGCTAAATCGCCATATCTGTTGCAGCATGCCTACAACCCAGTGGTATGGTCCATCCCATTCCATTTATGTTATTTTCTCATCTTTCCTTAGGATTGGTATGAATGGTCTGAGGAAGCGTTTACTCGAGCAGCTGAATTGAACAAACCGGTGAATTCCCATTGAACCTTGCTACGAGCACGTTCCGATGAGCTTCATATTAACCATTTTGCGCTAGATATTTCTTAGTGTTGGATACTCCGCATGTCATTGGTGTCATGTACTCGCTCACGAATCTTTTGAGGATCAAGAAATTGCCAATATAATGAACAAGTATATTAAATACTTAACTTTATAAGGATTTTGTTTAAACATAATTATAGGAGCTTTATAAATATAAAGGTTTTTCCTTCCGTTTTGGTAGTCAATCAGGTGAACGCCTCTAAATCTCTGTTAGGTAGATCGAGAGGAACGTCCGGATGTTGATCGGTAAGTTCCCTATTATGTCTTCAATTTTAGATTTTTGCCCACCTATCTTTCTCAGGATATATATGACATTGTTAGTTATTTGCCATGTCGGGTTATTAATCTATTAACGATTGACATCAGCGTTCAAGCTACGAGTGGCCGGGGTGGTTGGCCCATGAGTGTTTGTACGTTTTGATCATCTTTTCACCTCAGAACAATGCTTTAAGTGGACATGCCAACCTGCTAAGGGCTTACACCGGAATTGGCTCCTTTCTTCGCAGGAACATATTTCCCAAGAGACGCCTTCAAGGTTTTGTGTGAAAGAATCTCGGAAACGTAGGTTCTACCACTTTATTCGTATACATTAGCACCTCAAGCTAGCTGCTTAGCTGGCATGCCGATCCGTCGAAAGTACGAACTACTGGGAATTCGGTTATACAGCAATTGCAAGATTTATTCAAGGTGCTTGATATCCAGTTTAACCTTGGACGGTTTCGTTGATTGCGCAATGTAACAGGCTCAACCACGTATCTTTGATATCAACGTTCATGACGCGTTGAAACGAGTCTTTGATAAATGGAAATCAGATTTTGACCCAATCCATGGTGGTTTTGGTGATGCTCCCAAGGTTCCTTTCATTATCCTTATGAAAAGACCCCTAACCGACGAACCGTTAGTTCCCTTCACCATCCATGACCTTTTATCCTCTTCTCCGGTACGCGTATTATTCGGATAATGCAACCGAGAAAAGGGCGGCAGTTCAAATGGTGTCTCGAACTTTACTTGCCATTCAAAATGGAGGTATCAATGATCACGTGGGAAAAGGTATAGCTAGATATTCTGTGGATGTGGGATGGAGACTGCCTCATTTTGAAAAGGCGTGTTGCCATAATAATCTTTACTTCATTTATCATCTCATCTAATACCTCAAAAGATGCTTTATGACCAAGCTCAGCTTATTACATTCGCCCTCGAATGCTCCACTCTTCTCGAGGATCCTTTTGAGAAACGCAAGTTGCAGGCTATGGCGTTAGATATACTGGAATATATAGCTCGTGATCTTCGTAGTCCTGAAGGAGCGTTTTATTCTTCAGAAGATGCAGACTCTCTTCCCTCTAAATTGGCCATTAAGCCAAAAGAAGGCGCCTTCTATGTGTGTCAGACCCTTGTGGTATTTCCATACCGAATGATCGTGCTGGTTCTAATATTTATCAGGTATGGAAGAAAGACACGATCGATGAAATTCTGGGAGACAGGGCTCCTATATTTGAAGATCACTTTGGAGTCAATAAAGATGGAAACATTGATCCCAAACATGATGCTCATAATGAGTTAGCTAAGGAGGTAAAATTTTCCAGTTCTTGGAACTGCATTGATAGGTTTGATTTGTTCCCCCAGAATCAATTGTACATCCGAACTCCCATTATTGAACTCGCCAAAAAGTATAATCTTCCTGTGCACGAAGCTCATACTATAATCAACGAATGCCTTCTGAAATTAAGACAATATCGTGATACTACGCGACCTCGACCTCATTTAGATGATAAAATCGTGACAGCGTGGAACGGTCTGGTGTTGTCCGCTTTGGCTCGTAGCGCTTCTGTTCTAGAGCATGATCTTACTTTCCCTGGTGGAAAGAATGCAGTCAAAGCGACATTGGACATGGCGGGGGAACTTGCTATGTTCATCAAAGAACGGTTGTGGGATAGTACTAGTAAGGAGCTCTGTCGCAGCTGGAGACAGGGCCGAGGTCCCAGTGGAATGTGCGAAGATTATGCAGCTATTACATCAGGTGAGATCACGGGCTATACCTCTTAAAAACAATCTGAATTGAGCTTATTTACTCTTAAAGGATTCCTGGATATGTACGAAGCGACGGGTAACGAGGAATACCTAATGTTTGCTTATGAACTCCAGAAGCGACAGGACGAATTGTTTTGGGATGAAGATGACGGTGGATACTTTGCTTCTCCTTCCGGCGATCCACGAATTCTTGTTCGCTTGAAAGATAACCAAGATGGAGCTGAGCCCTCGGCATTGTCGGTTTCCTTGTCGAACCTTTACCGACTGGCATCACTTATCACTGATGAGGAATACGATTTGAAATCCAAAGCTGAAAGAACACTATCTTCTCAAAGTAATATGATTGCAAAAGCGCCATATGCTCTGGGTATGATGGTGGGTGCGGCCGAGATGGGAACGAGAGGAATGAAAGAGGTGAGCTCTTATACTTTAAGAAGGAAAGTCGCTTAAGTCTCTCATCCAGGTAATTATCACTGGCTACTCTGAGGATGAGTCCACTAGGACGTTTCTACGCTATGTTCGTTCAAAATTTGTACCAAACAGGAGCTTGATCCATATTGATCCTAACTTTCTGCCGAAGCGACTAGCAGAGCAGAATCAAGTTGTCAGGAGCTTAGTTGACAGTTTATCAACGAAGGCCACCGCTTCGTTGGAACTTCCCGAAGTTAGAGTTTGTGAGGCTGGCGTATGCGGACTTCCCTTGAAAGGCATTGAGTTGGAATTGTTAGTGCAGTAGCATTTGTATATTAAATGACTTGTTAGCCCATGTATTACAATGCCTTGACCTATTTTGAGTATATGGGGTAAAACTCGATCGCCTGATGGTTGGTGCAATAGCTCAGTGGTAGAGCATACGATTGCAAATCGTATGGTCCCGCGTTCGAACCGCGGTTGTACCTTCAGGTTTTTGCACAATTTGATTTCAAGAGTGTTAGTTTTTGATATCCTCTAACAGCGTAAAATGCACACACAAAACGCTTACTCTTGTTCAGTCGAGTGTATAATTACCCAGTTTGTGTATTAATTAGCTGAAGATATGGCGGCACACTGATTCTCCATATTTGTTGCCATGCTATTTATCGAAAGTCGACATTGGTTTGTAGGGAGGAACGGCACCCACATTCAAGCTGATGCATGTTTTTTCCATCTTTACGCAAAAAAAAATGTTTTATTACTGTCAAAAAAGCATGAGTTTCGTCTAAGCATATATCATGTGAATTTGTTAGTAGTTACTAGTATGGCAATTGAAGCTTGGAACCTGACTTTGGCAATGTCGCCGACGTCTTATTAGTCAAACTTTATTGACACATTTCATGCTTAAAGAAGCCGGTATAGTATATAAAGTTATCGAGTGATAACGATTGACAATGTAGCATTCATACTAGTTGTCGCTGGACGCGCCACGCGCGATATCTTCTAGCTCATTCAATACAATTTATCTGCCAGACCTTACGGGTTTTTTCTGAAGAAAAAAAGGAGGAGAGCTACTCCTTTCGATCCAGTCCCTGTTCCTTTAGATGCAATAAGCCTACGCCTACTTTGCTAATATTCTGCTCTTTGACATTCCCCGCATACAACTACACCTCGTCATGCAATCAATTTGATCATCTTCTCTCCGCACTTTATTCTGAAATTACCCTCCCTTTCCATTCCCTGCACTGCTTGCCGTCACTCCGTTCGAATTAGAGGTGGATCCCGCCGTAATGCTAACATTAATTTCGGGCAACTTCGCTCCCCTGCGTTCTAGCTCCTCTCGTAAACGCATAAATAAACGCTGTGTACGTTCCGGTGTGGGCTGAATTGAAGTCCCAAAGTTCTAAGGTCAATCAAAAGGAGGAAGTAGGGTAAAGAAAACGTACCGCTTCACAGCATGCTGTTGGCAAGAAGGAAAAGGTCTGTGAGCAGTGTTTCGTAAAATTAAACAACGCATTCATAAAATACCTCGCAAATCTTCCAATAATCTGGCTTGTGACGTATTAATATCTCGACTTTGTTCTTTCAATCGTTGAAGCTGTGAATGTATTTGTGATGATTGTTCTTTCAGTTGTTGAGCCTCCTCGTTCAGTTCTCGAGTCTGTAATTTCACAAATGAGAATAGAAAGAGTAGTAGCCTCCGAGGGCCAGGGAAACAGGAGGTAAACTCGTACGAACCTTTGCCTCATTCTCTGCTGCTTTCCTTCGTTCTTGTTCAACAAGGTTTCTTTGTTCTTCTGCTCGAGCGCGCGAGAGTAAAACCTCGAGTTCTTTGGAACGAATGATGCAGTCAAAATGCTTTTCTCGTAATTCATATTGTCTCAGAAAATCTTTGAGACGCTCGCGAACACTAAATGTTAGAATGCGTGAGAAGGTGATGCATACATATATATATATATAGATAGATGAAAGTTTGCAGTAACCATAACAAGAATGCACGTACACTGCATCAAATATTTCTTCAAGAGCTTGTTTGGCTCTAAAACTCGTTAATTTTGATCGTAGAGATTAGAGCTTCATCTCACTCGTGAGTATTTTCTGTCCAATTTTTCTTTAGTCGTTGCCGCTGAGGCTCCGGAACCTCTTCCTATTTCAAATCGATCAGTTCAGCTCTCGAAAGTCTAATCATAACTCTTCCGTATTGTTTAAGGAGGGATTCACCATGCGAGAGACAGGTTCGATGGAGAAAGAGAAAATGCGTGAAACTTACGCAGTCATCAGTGGTAAGATCCATCATCTCGACCGCAAGGATCTCATCCCCATCGTCCATCCCGGCATCCTCTGGAGTTTGGTCAGGTTCAATCGTACGACCCATGAATGTGAAGATGAATGTCATAGGTCGTGGTGTACGGCCGCCGTCCTGTCCATCTACAGCAGGATCTTTTTTGCTACCCGCAAACGTCGAACCAAGATTCGAAGCAACGTTCTGATTTGCACTACCGACACCTTCCATCCTTTCTGTCCAAGCATTGAACAATCTACTGAGCTTGGTTTTCCGCGATATTTTGAAGAAGAGTTCCGCGCGATACTTGCATACCACCTTGATAACGATATCGGGTGATTCAAGAAATTTCTTCTCCTTCTTCTTCGCTTTATCCGCACGACGTTCCATCTCGACCTTAAGGTTAAGAATCTAAAAGTGGTAAGGTATAGCGCATATATATATACAAGTCACCACTGCTATTCCGCCTACCTCATCCTGAGCTTCTTTGACATTTATAGCAAGAGCGCGGCTGTCTTCCTATAAACAATTTTCTTAGAGGTTGACTTGAGCCTTAAAAATGCAGTTAACTAACTCGTAATTTCTTGTTCTCCTGAGAAGAAGGTTTGTAACCTATCGTATACTGCAGAAGAACATGACTCTTACTTTCTGTAATTCCCTTGCGACGTTCTCAAACCGAGTCTTGTTTTGATTGGATTTTGTCAACTGGCTCTTTGCTAGAACGAATTGAAGAGGGAGGAAAATATTACGTCGCATGAGAATTCGCGGTAGGTGAAGAAGAGGGAAGGAGTCTGGTACCATTGTCTTTATCTTTAACTAGCTTTTGCCTCTCTTTTGCGTGGTCGCGTTCCATGCGTTTGAATTCTTGATACTGTATGTCGATATCAATATGTGAACATATGAATATTGACTTGCAAGACCGCAGCGCACCAAGTCAATATACTTTGTATGAACCGCGGAATCTGACATTCCTTTCACAGATCTTCGAGCTTCTTCAACTGTATATTATAGTCAACAAGTTATTAGATATGAGCATTTATGAACTAAATCAACCGGGTAGGACATACCAATCTTCCTCTCTTCTTCTTCACCATGCACCTCTTCTTCTTCGAGAGCAGCAATCCTATTCCTGACAGTCTCATACATTGCGACAGGGTCTACTATGTCAGGCTTCTTCTTTTGGGCTTGTTGCTGTGCATGATGTAAACTTTGTTTTTGCGACGCAGAATTCAACTGTGAGTGATGTTGAGATGTATGTGAATTTGCGCCGTTAACTGGGAACGTGATACCAAAGAAAATAAGAACGCGCTTTTTTTTTCAAGTTTGTAAAATTAGAGTTGAGCTTACCCAAATTTGCAGGCGGCACTGTAGGCGGGTTTGGAGGAGCCGAAGTAGGTGCAGGTGAAGGTACAGGAGGGGCAGGTCCTGTAGGTGCTGGCTTAGCGGGAGCAGTAGTCCTAGTATTATTCTGAGAATTTGAGGAATGCGTTTGATTTTGATGTTGATCCTGATTGCTAACTACACCGTTTGTGGCCATTGAGTCATAGGTTTTGCTTATAGAGGCTTCGAAGACAAGCTTAGTATGAGCTTCAACTGCAAAAAGCGGAGGTTTTTTTCCACGCTCCCGTTGTGACGCATATTTCATCAAGCTTTTTTTTTTGTTTGACTACCTTTTCCTTTTCCTTTTGGTTTTTTTCTCTACACTAATTAGGCAAGTAATGTCTCCATTGAAATTTTCAAAATTAAATATTCCTGATCCTCATTCAACTTGAATTAATCCCAAGTCTACTTAATATTTTAGTCTGTGAGTGAATTCGTGCTATATTCCCTTGTTTATGTCTGAAAGTGGACCAAGTATGTTATTATATTGTCAGGGCCAATCCTGTTTGATCAGAGAAACATTCACGTTTTATGCTTTCTTGGACACCGCAGAGAATGTTTGACATGCTATTCAGGAGGGACACTCAGCCATGACTTGTAAATCAAGTTGAGCTGGCTTATGAAGCTGTAATCGGCAATGGTAGAGCTCGGTGGTAGGATTAATAATTACCAATTAGGTTCTCAACTTTCAACATACATATATGCTTTGAATCTAGAATAAGAACCTCAATGATTCGATATAGGTAAAGGTGGTTTTTTTACGGGTTTCAATACCCCATTTTAAAACCGTCTTTGATCAGCGTTATTTACTACCTTCGACCTATAATCACCGGTCAGGGCCAGGCGATCATTATAACGAATGCAATAGAGGCTTTAGGTAACAGCTGCAACTTTTTTCTCGTAACTGAGATAGATCCCAATTTCAACAACCGTATAATTGATATACGTTTTCCATTTGCAAATGGATCACGGGTTTCAAGTTTAACTCATGAATGTGCTTGAAACTATAAATGTACAATATGTAGAAGCTTTTAGACGCGTCGAATTCTCAGGAGTTTCGACCTTGGCAGATTGTGGAACATACGTCCAAAATGAACTGTCAAAGGCAAACTTTAGTGTTAATATTCAGAATTGGTAACACGCACACGGTTTGTCGTGTAACGAGAAGACCCAAGGGGAAGTAAAATCAATCACGTTTGACAGCTTGATTTAGGTGGACCTTCGAACATTATTGAAAAAAACATCACATGAACTTGCACGTTGGAATGAGATAGAATTCCAGATGGGGAATTTTGACATTTGTTATATGGCGGCGTTTGTATAGGAGATCGCTATCCCTTTTTGGAGCCCTCGTAAGCCAGTCGGAATGTTCCCTACGATATACAGAAATATCTTATAATTCTTGGCTTTTCGAAAGTTATTCAGTAAAAAAAAATAGAACGCATGGTAATGTCAGTCAAGAAACCGGACGGCAAAAGAATGCCGAATCATGAAAATCGGGATCTCAAATGCGAAAGTTGAGCTTGAATACAGTTCGTTCATTCACCTTTTCGCCAACATACCGCTTTAGAAAATTGTCATCTAAAACAATCATAAGACCTAGTTCATATAAAAGCATGACAATTTCGCTTCAAGTTATCAGTGTTCGCTGGGACCTGTCTCAATGCAGACGTTCTTATATCTTTGCTTTGTGCTCTTTGGACTTGGTTATTGTAATGAGGTTCAAGGACTCATTCATCCACATCTAAACACCACCGGAGACAGTAATGTTGGGGTTCTCCTTGATGGCTTTAAATCTTGCAAAGGTCCTTACGCATCTTAGAT